ATGGGATTCGACACGGAAAGAAAATTGGTATTACGAATAGCAACTATTCTCAGTGGCTGTAGACTTATCGTTAATCGAAATTTTACAGTACGACAACCAGCAAGTTTTGAAGAGGGAGAGCAGCGCAGAGCCTCAACCAGGCGACATTTAAGGGATAATTCCAAATTCTCTAGAGCTACTGCCTGTACTCTAAGAAAAAGTTAATGCTTTGTAGTTTTTTCATGTATTATCTGCTTCTATTCGGCTTCAAAGTATATTCCGTACTTCCAAGAGCACTGTAGATTGATGGTTAATACACAGAGGAACGACTTTGTTCAACTTTAATACTTCCAATCCTTAAAGCTTGCGCAGCTCTTCGATTTTTCGAAAAAGGAAGTCCTCAAATTGGAAGTTTGGATGTCGGTAGTTTTGAAGAGGTGCTTCAGTTAATAGAGGAAAAAAATTTCAGCAGTGTTCGCTTGTGTTACACCAAAAGCGCGTACTCCACGGAAACAAAATTTTCACGCCATTGTTTTGTACAAGAGGGCGTGGCAATTTCCATTGAAATCTGATAAACAAGTAATGCAAAAACATGTAACCTGTAAATCTATAAATAACGTTCATTCCAAATATGAGCCATATCTAACGCTCGTATCTATATTTTTTTGGCAGTATAATTCTTCTTTTTATTCCAGAAATGGATACCGCGTTTTTTCCAAAATACTGCATTTATATTTTTTGCTGCCTAAATTTCTTAATACAGTGTTCGTGGAAACAAGCTATAAAAATGCATATTTAGTAAACCGTTATATTAAAAAAATTGGCACACGAGATCTTGACCAATTTTGACTATTTTCCTTTCGTATGTCTAATGTATATTATTTTTGTTTTAAGTCTAGTTAATTATATTATACTTAACACCATACAAATCCACCTTTCAAACTTTTTAAAGAAATTTAAAAAAATTCACTACAAGAAACTTTGTATTCATAATTTTTACAAAAATTCCAAGTATACAGTTTTGTAGCAAGTTTCAATAGGATAAGAGTTCGCATTGGTTTTTCGTTATTTTTTTTTTTTTTTGCCGACGGTGTTATTGTTTTCTTCTATTCAAAACCACTTGTCGAATATAGTAACTTTGTATGAAAGAAAATGCGTGACGCCGTCAGCAAAAGAAAATAAGTCAGCGGTATTTTGTAGACACTTCAAACTACATAGAACATTGTTGTTGTGCAACTTGTTTCTAATTTTTATACAAAGTGACAAAATTTATATTTACATAGCTTTTGTTGGACATATCATTTTGTCTCGGGGTGTACAACGGTACACATAATACAAGGAATTCCTATATTTTATTGGAAAACTGTTTCAAAAAATACTGTACTGTAAAAATGATTTTATTTTTAAATAGAGACACTGCGAAACGGTTTGTTTTCGCAGTAATATATAGTGGTTTGCCCGAAAAAAGGTACGAGCGTTAGCCATATCGGACCATAAATACGAGTTTTTCAAATATCTCCACATCTGCACCACCTAGCGGAGTAATTCATCTTTCATATTGCACTGTCATCGGGTTTTGTGCTAAGTTTGAAGTTTCAAGTCTCTAGCTCATCGGCATGTTGGTTACAAATTTATTGCAAGACTTGATTACACAAACAAGTGAAACGTAATAAAAGCTTGTAAAAATTGGAGCGCCTTTTATTCTTCTATCGTTACCTTGATTCACCTTACCTTAATAATGCAACAAAATTGGTATTAAAGAATAGGATGACCACTATAATTGAAATAATAATTATTACTGGATGCGGCGTGTTTTAAGTTGAAGACTTTTTTTTCGTTGATGGGGCTTCGCATTTTTTCTCTACAAAGTATTTGTGAAACTTTTTATTTGAATGGAAGAAAACGTGTTAAAAAATTTGCCAAAAATCAGCGACAAGTGGTAGCTACTTTAAACTAGCACTTTATTATACTAAAATTTTGTGGGA